AGTGATGTGGTTATGTTAAAATAGTAAAGAAAGGAGTCCAATGGAGGCGTTTCAGTCAGGGGGGGGAGTGGGAAGGACAGTGGGAAACTCCCTCAAGAGCAGGGGTGTCAAACTCAATTTAATCGCGGGCCACATCAGCATTATGGCTGCACTCAAAGGGCCGGTTGCAACTNCAAATAAAAAGGTCTCATAGAGGAGATACTCATAGTTTGTGTCTTTAATTGACCAGCACAATTACCACATGCAACGGATGCAACATACACTTACAACACACACACACACACACACACACACACACACACACACACACACGCACACGCACACGCACACGCACACGCACACGCACACCTACAGCTGTGCTATGGCTGTGCTATGGCTGTGCTATGGCTGTGCGCGCGAATTCCTGGCCCACAAATTTGCGGGTCTAGCTATGTACTGAGTGTGTGCAGCGCCATATATCTATTATATGGCTCTGAGTGTGTGTATTTCGCGGGTTGAGTGATGTACATTGACAATGGCATCCCGTGGAGGAATTCTGAAATGTTTTACCGTTGCATCACAAAAACTCCAGACCCTGGAGCGCCGGCCTCTTTATTTACTTACTCCTCTTCATCCCCTATAAGGCTGAGATGAGAACCCTCCATCGTATTTAGTCCTTAGCAATATGCTGCTCATCTTCCCATGTAGGGATGGGTACAGAGCCCCGGTATTAAACGGGCCCCGGGCCGGAATTATTAAAGACAGTGGTAACGTTAAGCTCCGACGTTATCGGACTTTTTATCGGTACTGGAGACATTTAAAAAATATATGTCATATGTATTATTGCTACATAAACATTATATCGCTATATCGTTTTAGTTTCGCCAACTACGTTTCTATTAGGCAATAAGACTACAACATGCGTCTATGATGTATTTTCGAGCTTTCCAATCCAGACGAGATCTCTCCCTCCCATCTGTGTTCAGAGGCAACACTTTAATTTAAGATGTCAGGTACAATGTGGTGCAGCGCAAGCCAATAGAAGCATCGGAATGTCATAAGGTTACATAAGTAAAGAGTCCAATGGAGCAATTTCACCAAGGGGGGAATGTGTATGGGCTTTGCAGACCATTTACATGCACACTAAACGATATAACACACTACAGGAAAGGGAAAACCCCAAAAGGCATCAAATGGCAGTGTAGGGTTTATGGTACCCCTATGGAAGTATGTCTTATGCATTACCACTAATCTGCTTACAACAATCTTTTTAACCACTGTAGATATATAGATATTGAATCATATAATATTTTGCAGCCAACCCTATCTGTTTAACATACGGAACATAACACAGATAAATCAATGTGACGAGAGCAGTGAGCACATGATCTTGAGTTGAGTCCTTGAGTTGAGGCTCAAAAAGACACAGCTATCAGAAGAAATACAATATTGTAAGGATAAAGCAGATTCGTATGATTCAAACATTGTGAATCAGGCCGGTCGATATGTTTTCCCTGAGGAGAGTGTGCAGTCTTTTTTATGCTCAAAATCCTTTGAGGATGTATGTGTGTGTGTGTGTTTGTTCTGCTAGAGTGTGTGAAGGCTCTGCCACGTTTGAATATGTAGTCGTGTGCCTCGATTGAGACCCACATCAGATCAATGAGAGCAATCAGTTGCTGGACAGGCTGCGAATACAAGATCATCTCTAAATCACCATAAAAATACAGCATAGCACAGCAGCGTGATGAAACACCCCCTCCTGTCCTTTAATATCTCCTGTTGAGATGCCCTCGAGCATGGCAATCCAACCTCCAAATAATGGCCTCTATCTTATGTGTCTGTTTGCTCCCTGCCGGCTGTTTTCTAGCATGATCCCACCTACAATTGAGCTGCCAAAGATTGCACTTATATAGAATCACAAGTATATTTGATTAATTTAGCAAGTAGTAACTCAGTTTTAATAAAAAAAACATCTAAAGGAACCTTTGCTTCATGCCCTATTGGGCTTTTTTGGGTTTTCCCCTTTGTTTATGTGTGTTATATAGGTGTTTGTAAATGTACATGAGGTGCCGCAGAACAGGCAGTATGAGAACAATGAAGACTTCCTTGAACATTAAAGACTGTACATGTCACTGTTGAGGCAAAAAGTACAGATATGAACCTCAGAATGGGCATAATATGTCCCGTTTCATTCTCTCAAAGAAAAGAGAAAGAAACTCGTTCTAACAAAATGTTTCTTTCTTTCTAAGGATACGTATAGTTGAAGAGAGGAAAGCTACAAATAAATGGAAACCCGTTATGGCAATGCCCCATTAGATTGACTTCCTTATATAAACTT